GTGCGGACGCGGGGTCTGCACGCGATCGCGTTGCCGCCGACGGCGCCTTGTGCAAACCTCCAAACCCCCAGGAGAGCCGTTTGGCAGCGCAGGCAGGGATGGGTATGAAGGTTCGGGATGCATCGTGCCTCCTGCTGAGCGATGCTCCGGGAGCGCAGTGAACGCACCCCGAGCACACTCAGCGGTCGTCAGCTGGGCTTGCAACAATACCCCGAGTTTAAAAACCCTGTGTGCGCGTGGGGAGGATCTGCCTAGCTCCCTTTGCTCTTTGCCTTCAGATGTGCCTGCAGCCCTGAGGCTGCTCAGGCAATGGTGGGGACACAGGCCCGCCTGTATCCGTCTCTGTTTCCAAACGTGCCCTGTTGGATATCCTTTTTATTAAGATGGGGTTCTCACCTCAAGCATGACATAAGGTCCACTTGAAAAAACTCCACCCTTCTACCAATAATAAAGCTGTTTGTTAATGAAAACATCAGAGAAGTCCAAATCAGTGAGGTTTATTTCTAGCTCCTTCCTTCATGTCCCAGAAGACACGAGGCAAATAAAAAAACATTGAGCGTTTCAAAAATCTCATTGATTCGTGGACCTTGCTGAAGATTTATGGAAAGGGCTTGAGCCAAGCAGAGGGCCAAGAAATACTGGCCCAGGCTTAGACCTGTTGCTGAGATCCTGCCTTGAGTTGAGGCACGAGGCCCCCGCACAGATGCGTTGGCCACGCAGACCAGCGCTTCAGGATCTCCCCAAAAGGCCTGTAGAGAGCCAACCCGATGCTTGTGCAAAGCAGCCAGATTTGGGGGCGAGAACAGAGCAGGGGGTTGCAGATGGCTTTCTCCTCGGCAAAGTTCACCTCCGGAGGTGGTGCAGCGAAATGCAAATTGCAAGTGCACCTGGTCTGCCTGGAAGCAGAAGGAGACGGTGGCCGCCGTTTCGGTGGCATGCCCAGGAGCCAGCCCTTATCCTGGCACCCTTGGGGACAGCGTGTGTGACAGTCCCAGACACCACTGAAGCCGCCTTGCAGCAGCACAGCTCTGCACTGTCCCCAGATCATGTTTTGCCGGGTTTCTTCTACAGATGGAAACCTGCCCTGGGGATCCACCATGGCCGGGCATATTTAGAAAAGAGGAAACCCGCCACGAGAACCGCAGGCAGGGCAAGGAGACACAGCCAGGGTAAGCTGGAGGAGCTGTCGGAGGAGTCATCTATGACGCGGGTTCGCAAGGGCTTCAGAGCCCGCTGCCACTGAGTCAGGATGGCGCTTCTGGCCCCGCTCCAGCGGCCCCGTCCCACCAGGCGGTACTGGTAGGGTGAGCAGGGGCCAAAAAACACTGCCAGGCCCAGCCGGGGGTCCGTCAGGAGCAGCCTCAGCACGCTAGGCTTTATGCCGGCACATGACGCAATTTCATCTGTGTAGCTGATAAAACTCATCCACATGTTCACCTCAGCAGGATTCCTTCATTGGGACATAAAACAGACAAGAAAAATCAAACGGCGTCCCAGCGCGTTTCCAGCACCCCGAATGCAGCCAGGCAGCTCCACGCTCCTTCCCACCTCGGTCCCCAGCTCCGTGGGGACCCAGGCAAACGCCTGGGGCTCAGACAAGCCATCGCGTTGCAGGGGACTAACGAAGTGACGAGCACCAGCCGAGCCCAGGGTCTGGGAGGAGCTCCCTTAGCCCATGCTCTGTAGTAAGATAAATAAGCCTAAAGGCACTGAAAGAGCGTTTGTGTGGTGGGTTACTAGCAGTTACCCTGGTGCAGGTGATAGGCTGAAACTTGTTTTGTCTCTATAACCCGACTGTGGCTGAGCCCTGAAAAATGCAGCCAGGGAGGGGGCTGAACTAAGGAATGGTTCTCGCACAACGCTGCCATCATTGTAATGCCACAAATATCGGTGTAATGTCCTTACTCAAGATTCACTGCCTTGAATTTGGCCCTTTTTGAGAGGTGAAGCAGTCTACGTTCACAGCTAAGACTGCCAAATGGACCGGCGAAAGCTAAGAGATGCAGAAAGCTTCCTATGCCAAGAGGCACTGGAAAAGCTCAGCCTCCCACTCCCATTTGTCTGCTTTGTCACCAGCTCATCTGCTATTAGTTCATTAGGAAATTGCGGAGAACTTCAGCTCGTTTCAACAACCAAGCCCGTGGGTAGGTGATGCCTGATCTCTTCCGCTACCCCTGTCCCAGTACTGACCCAGAGGCTAGAGCTAAGCCCCTTAAATAGTGAGGACACGGAACAAATCCAAGCCCTTTCTTCCCGGGGCCTTGTCTTCCCTGCAGAAGAGGTGTGTTTAATCCACTTCAGCAAATCTGAGACAGCTTTATCTCCGTTGCAACTCAGACTCCCGTATTTCTATGTAACAAAATGTGAGGACAATGTGCATGTCTGGAGTAGATGGGGCTCCTGATGAAAATCCATGTGACTCTGTTTTGGCCCAGATTTTCACTGGTATCCTTGGTTGTATGATCCAGCTCTGCCTCATCGTGAGACCTAACCCAGACTGCATGCCGCCTGGCCCTGAGGTCTCACAACTCGCTCCAGGTAGGACAGCCAAGAAAGCTCTTGGTGACTGCGAGACAGCACATCCAGTGCATCTGTCCCATAGCCTTGAGGACTTGTGGTAAAATCCCAAGGCAAACAAGGCAGGGCCTTAGTTCCCATATGCGCATTGGATGCATTAGAGCCTTGTCTACTATTCATTTTGACCTGCCAAAAACCATCACCCAAACAACCCACAGCCTGCATTACCCGGCTCCAAGGGGGTGGTGCACGGAGCACTAGAGCTTCCGGTGCCTGGCTTTGGGAGGAAGAAACCACGAGATGGCACTAGTAGTCTGGAGGAAACCTAGTCTCCAGCCTGAGATGCTGGAAATAAGGGCATGACTTAGCAACCTGATGGAGGGGACTACCAGCCTGATCCATCAGGGGTCTTGCTGCAAGCTGCTCCGAAGGTCAATGGTGTCTGGGGCAAGCCTGGGAACAGCACGGTGGAAAGGGTGCCCTGGCCGTTGGAAGCTCTAGCCCGGGGTGCTCCTGCTGTACCTGGACCGGAGCCCGGGAAAGGCATGGGTCAGTGGGAACGCTTCAGCAGAAACGGAGCAGCTCTGCACTGCTCAACCAGGGGAGATATGTCCTTGGTGTCTTGGGTTGTCACCTATTGAAGGGGGTGACAGCATCTCCCCATCTCACTATGGGTGTTGTGGGAGTATCTGCATTCAGGAAGAATTAGACGCCCTGGATAGGTCTGTGACATAACCACTATGGGGACCGCCTTCACCCGTGTTGTCCTGGCTGGTGCAGCATGCCCAGAGCATGGGAGCAGCACTCACCTTTTGACCAGCTGCTTCTCCTTCTTTGAAATATCTGCCATCATCCTGCTGACGGGAGGCAGCTTGTTGGAGCCTGAGAAGAAAAAAGAAACTGTGGTCCGTGGGGGCCAGAGGCTAACGCATTCTTAGTGCTGACCGCCCCAAAACGCACAGCTCCATCAAAAGATGGAAAGTGCTCTGCCCGACGCGGCCTGGGCTTTGCAGAGAGCCGGCCAGGCTGTGCTCGACCTCCCTTGCACCAGCTCCCCTTGTCCGGGCACGCCGGCTCCTACCGGCAAAGATTCCCGTCACCCAGCGAGCCTGCATTTCTGCTCCCACCATCACAGAGCCTGTCAGTTGTACTAAGCCGATGAAGGCCAGCGTGGGCTTTTCCAGCTGCGGAGGGAAGATGCATTTATAGAGGGAACAGCTATGTTTGAAGAGGCTGCGAACAGAGTCTTCCAGGAAGGGAAATGAGAATGCGTATCCCGTGGCGAAGAGCACCACGTCGATGTTTTCGGTTGTCCCGTCTTCAAAAACAGCCGAGCTTTCAGTGAACTCCTTCACGGTTGGTTTCAACACGACAGTCCCAGAGAGGAGGCAAAATGGCAGCTCTTCATTTATAATTATGTTAAACTTGGAACTTGCACATGGAGGGAGAAGGAGAGAAGGAGAGTAGCATTAACATCTGGGAGGGTCCTGAAACAGAGCTGGAAAGGGCTTTCATGGCAGGAGTCAAGGAAACTAGTGCTAGGAGGGACCTAGAGGGGCTCAGACTTGTAGCTCTGCCCCCAATAGCAGGATCAGCCATTGTAAACCACCCTGATGTAGGTTTAACCTGCCCTTAAAATGCCAAAGTGGAGGCAACTCCAAGACCTTCCCAAGCTATCTGTGCCTGGTAGATTTTCCTTAATGTCTGATCAATTCTCCAGCTTTTCCTGGAGCGGACTGGAGTAACAGGCTCGCTGTCTCCTCACAGCAGCTATGGACCTCCTAGCACAGCTTAGAGCTGTGTGAGGCCTGCAGGCTCTGGCCCCAAGGGCCTAAGCTCTGGCTGAGGTGCTGGCGCATCTCACACAGCTGTGGAGGGAGCAGTCACACCACCCTAATGGTGACGCAAAGGAGAACATCTCCCTGCAGGCAGAAAGCCTACATAGAAAAGTCCCCTATAGCCAGACTGTGGGTCCTGAGTCCGCTGTGAACATAGGCACCAAAAGGAAAGTTCCTGATGGTCTCACTTCCGTTGCATGAGAATTTGGTACAAAAAACAGTATGTCATAAAAAGCTACTGATGGAAAAAAGTTAATTCCCCGCTAACAATTTGCTATTCCACAACTATTCCCTGAAATGAACAGTTGGATATTTCAAATCATTAAAAACCACCAATGAACCAACAAAACAATCAGAGAAAATACCTTTTAACAGAAGCCAAGCCATAGTTTGTATGGTTAAACCATGAGTTGAACTTCCAAAACCTGATCCTTTCCATGATGGCTGATGGGAGAAGCCAGTCGAGAAAATGCTTAAAGCGCGTGGTAACAACCATGTCAAAAGGAAAACCATGATCCGAAATACGACTGAACACCCACGTGCTGCTCCTGGCACTGAGAAATACCTGGGAAAGAAGACAGGATGGCAAATCTCTTGCCAAAGGTCTTCTTTCCATTTTTGCCCCAAATGGCAAATCTTATCTCCTGTGTTTGGTAGCAGGCAGCTGAATGGATTGTCCCGAGGGAGGGAGGTATCTGGATGAACAATCAGCTCACGGTGGCTTTTGCAGACTTCCAAGAGCTGCACACCAGCCCCTCTGTCTGCTTCCTAGATGATCTAAACCCTCCAGGAACTGCAGAGCTTATTTCGATGGCCAACAATTTCGAGGTCCGTTTCTTTAGAAAGCCAGTGGGCAATGCTTTCCCAGGACATACCCACAACAATTACTGGTGCGGACACCCTGCTCTCGTGTCCTTCAGTGTCCCTCATGAGACACAGCTCCTGGGGAGCAAAAGCTCCAGTAACGTGGGCTTCTGTGGGTACTGAGAGGCCAAATACAAAGTTGTATTTGGAAGGTGCAAGGAGGGAAGAAATGCAGGGTCTAGCTAAGGCAGTGCAGGACAGCTGTTAGAGCTGGTGCAGTGCCCTGTCTCCCACTTCTGTCACAGGAGGTGCTTTGGCATCTTTTCTGCATACATGGAGGCAGTCTGGGGAGATATCTGGGGATGGGAGATGCTGGGTGCACGTGGCTGAGGTGGAAAAGGAGTGAAGCACCCTTTGTTCAGAGGGCTGGGAGGTGGGAG